AAAATGCTGAAATACTACTATTCTCATAGCTAATTAAATGTATGTAATCCTTTCAGAATACAGCAACATGTTTAGATGGGTGTTTAATAACTAAAATACAAGGATGATTAAAGAAAAAGAATGTGTATGTGTTAGGAGGTTTTAGCTACTGCTTTACCACTGTCTGTATGTGCCAGCGCTGGAGTGGGATTTGGGAGATTATGAATAATTAACTACTTATTCTCAAATGTTTCAGAGGTTCAGAAGGTAAAATCAGGCATGAGAATTTACATTCTAGGTATCGTAAAAGGAACATTGGACTCTGGGAATCAGATCTGAGTTCTATCCTGGGTTTTTTCTTTCTGTGTGATTTTGGAGAAAGCAGCCTCCCAAATCAGATCTCAGTTTTCTTATCTGTAGAACAATATCCAAGGTGCCTTCCAGCTCTAAAGGCTGTGATTCTACTTGGGAAGTTATATATCCAGGGCTTTGAACTGGTTCAAACTGGTTCAGTCATGGCCATTGAAGGGGGCCCAGGACAGACCCAAATTTCCACAGTGTGTGTGAACTACTATGGGTCAAAACCCTGGAATGGGAGACTCAGAAGAGGCAAAATGAAGCCTTTCAGGAGCCTGAGCAGTGAGATTGGATTATTGACAGGACTGCGGAGAGCAGCACACATTCAAAGCTGCTCAGTCAGCCGCCATCTTTAAGCGGGGCACCACCATCTTTGAGTAGGGCAGCACTGTTGCCAGCTCTGCTTAAAATCTGATGGGCAAGAGATTCGGGTTTTTTTGCAATGCAGACAGTGCTTTTGTTTTCTAAGAGGGAGATGAGGTCCCTAGCAGGGCTTTGACCCCTAATTTTTCCCGTTCCAGTTATCGTTCCAATTCACCCAAATTTTAAAAATTCAGATCTGCTCTGGTTTCACTTCTTCAGCCAAGATTGAACCTAGAAGAACTGGTTCAAAGCCCTAGTTATATCAAGGGAAGGGGCCGATCAGATTTAGTCATCCCAGTGATACGTTTTCAATTTGTTTGTGGGACTGCCTGTAGGTCAGAGGATATGTGGACGCCTAAGGCTTCCCAATAACTCTTCTCTTTTTTTCCTTTCAGAACATTTTCCAGATGGCGAGGTCACAGCAGAGGGATGTGGCCACCTAGCCTTTCCTCCCCTTTCCCTCCTCTTCACCTTCATCTGCTTACCCCTTTCGCCTCCCATGTCAGACAGAGTAACCATTAACACAGAAGAAGAGAAAAAGGAAAAAGTCATTATATTCAAAAGCCCTAAACTAAATATTAATAACCCCCTCTGAATTTCATGTCTCTGGAATTGAGCTGGTAGAGAACAACAGACGGGTCAGCACCAGGCGTCAACTGCATTAAGACGGGAAGAGAAAGAAGCCCAGCCAACTCGCCAAAGGTACCTCTGTCCTTTCACCTGGGCCTCATACCGACAGACTCTCCTTGTACTCTGTTTTAAAACTGGAACTATGAACTATTCCATCCATTTGCACTGTTCAGACATATATATGTATGTATGTAAAAAATTATATATACACAAGTTAGCTGCACGTATATACATATATATATTTCTTTTTAAATTTCATATTGATGGCAGCACCTTTTTTAGCTTGCGTTTTTACACACCTTTCACTAGGATTCATGACCTCGCTCTTGCTCTTTGTTTTGAAACAAACTTTAAAAAGGAAAAAAAAAGAAAACACTTTACAAAACAATACCTCTCCTCATGAAGGACTCGAAAAGTTTACAACCTGCCTGGTTTTCCCCTTTTGTACTGAGTGCAGATTCTGGCTCATGGGTGGCCATGGAGTCCGAGGAGCAAGGGTTGTCGTTTCTGTATCTTCCAAGAGGGTGCTGAGGAGGAGAAAGAGGTGTGTGTCTAAAGGGCAGCAAGGCTACAGGTCTGCAGGGAGAGTCTAAGGCGTGATTTGGCCTCTTGATGCCAGGACAGTTTCCTGGTCTGTGTCTAACTCCTGGCTTTCTAGCCACATGGTCCGTCTCCTCTCTGCTTCCCCAGGACCCCCTGTATGCTGCCCCTCAACTGGCCCAGACTGGAGGGGAGGGTGGGCCCAGGAGGTAGATATCACAGGAACCTGAAACTCCTCATGGCAGTAATTTCTTATGTCCCTGCCTTTTCTGAAGTAGGGATAGTACTAGCGACCAGAGTTAAAGCGGATGCCTTCAGGCGCGAAGGTTGGACTTATGTAGGGAAAGGAAGGAAGTGGTGTCCTATGTACGTAAGCTTTTCCCTACTCCATTCCTGACCAGTCACCACCTGTAACTATTATGTTCTCTGTGACCTCCTTAAGCAGCAGTGGGGAGGGACCTGAGAGTATCTTCAAGGCCTCGGGGGAACTTGGAATGGGTCAGTGGTCTGCCAGCCAAACCACAGACAGCCCCACCCAGGCAGCTGAGGACCCAGGAAGGAGCAGTAGAAATATGGTTGCTTTGGGTTGGAGCTCAGCTCTTCACGGAGAGGAGACTAAAGGAAGACCTTTCTGTCCCCCCAGAGAGCTCCTCCCG